TGAGCTACAGAGAGCCAGCCAGGACAGAAGTGTCTCTCCTGTGGCCTCTGCGTCTTTTTCTGCCTCCAGGTTTCTGCCCCGAAGTCCTGGAGCTTCCCGCGATGATGGGCTGTTGTAATCAGTAAGTGGAAACTAGCCCGCTCCTCCTCCAAGCTGCTTTTGGTCGAGTGTTTTATCCCAGCATCAGAAAGGAAACAGGTCGAGATGAGAGGAAGAGAGGGGCCCTGGAGAAGGGGGAAGGAGAATAAGTGGCGTGGATGTGTGATGCCGCGATGAAACCCACCACGGACGGTGAAGGCGTTGTGTGCACTGGATGTGTCCACTGGATGTGTGATGCCGCGATGAAACCCGTCTCGGACGGTGAAGGCATTGTGTGCACTGGATGTGTGAAACCCGCCACGGACAGTGAAGGTGTTGTGTGCACTGGATTTGTAAATTTTAGTAAATAAAAAAGAACCAGGAAATAAATTCTTTTAAAACAAAGTTCTTATTTTATTTATTTATGTATATATTTTTTTTTATTTGTGTGGATGGTTTCCTTGCATCCACTTTCCTTGCAGCAGCTCAGAACATTTGCCCTTACAGAGACCCAGGTTTCCATTCCCAGCACCCACATGGAGGCTCACAACCATGCCTGACCTCCCGGCCCAGGAGATCTGATGCCCTCTTCGGACCCCAGGCACCAGGCACATGTGTGACGCAAAGCAAGCAGGAACAAAGCTCATAAAATTAAATAATCCAAAAATACAATAAAAAGCAAAAACCGAAAGCCATTCCATGCAATGAAGTCATTAGCAGTTGGAGGACTGTACAGTCACCTTAATCTATGAAATTCTGAGCTTGTATAGGACTTAAGTATAAATCTATTTAGAGAGCTTTTTGCAAGAATTGTGGGCTTATCTTAAGGACCAGAGTCCTTATATTAATTAGATAAAGACTAAGTCAGTGTCTTTGTGATGGTCTTGGCTTGGAGTTAGCAGATTTGGATATTCAAGTGCATACTTTCTTATAATAATAATAATAATAAACAATAATAACATTTATGAATTCCTGGTTATGTGCCAGACACTGCTGAATCTATATGCCTTATTTTGCTTGTGAAAACCCCCAAATGTAGTTACTATTTTCTTTTTTTACTTCTGTTGATTCTTTGTGGATTTCACATCATACATTCTGATCCTGGTTGTTCCCCTGTCCCCTCAAATTTGCCCTCTGCCCTTGCAACCTCCCTCCCAGAACAAAACCAAATTTAAAAGAAAAAACAAAAACCAACAAAACAACAAAGAATCTGTGGACACTCTAGTGTGGCCCAAGTGTTTCACGGTTTCCCCTTAGCCTGTTCATCTTTGCTTGTGAGTGTGGTCTGACTTGAGGCCTCTGGCTTCTGCTCCACCCCGGTAATGGTTTCTCACTGGGGATCCCCTTGGATATCCTGCTGTCCTGTGTCATGGAGGTCCTGCTGCTCTGGATCTGTAGGTTTGTCCCCTTCACATGCTCTAACAGTTCACAGATGGAACTGTTGCCGTGGGCCAACATAAAACCCTGGTTCTGGGCTTGGGTGGTGGCTGAGTTGGTCAGCCTGGCAGGCTTCCCTCATTGTCTACCTGGGTGAGCTCTCCAGCACTGCCTGAACTAACTCACCCAATGCAGCCTGCAGCAGGGTGGGGGCAATTCTCCCACTCTAGGGCCCTCAGATCCAGGTCCCCCTCACCCATACCACCAGGACCAGGTCTACGGTTTTGCCCAGGCAAGGTGCAGAACCCTCTCTCTGGATTGCTGTAGGGGGATATAATAGCTAGTGTAGGGCAGAGCTGTGTCCCTCTCTCTGTGACCCTGGAGCCAGCTCTCTCGCTGGCCACTACGTGACTGATGGGGGTAGGGGTGGGGTGGTTGTGGGGGCTGGTGTTGGGGGGTGGTGTTAGCTCTCCTCCTCTTGTGACCCCGGAGCTAGCTCTCTTACCTGCTGTAGGTAGCAGTAAACTTTCCCTCACACATACCACCACATGGCAGATGGGGGCAGGGTCAGCTCTCCTGATCTCGTGCCCTCAGGGTTGGATCAACCGTACCCCGTCCAGACCGCATGGTCAGCTCGGTCAGCTCTAGAGTGCGGTGCATGCCTGTGGAGAGGGGTGGGGCCATCTTTCTGGAGTGCAGGGGTGAAGCTCTTCCCTGAGGGGTGGGATCAGCTCCCTTGCTTCAATGTCTAGAGAGGGCAGGACCAGCCACTACAAAGTCAGTGAACCCCCCCTCCCCCGCTCAGCACAGCATGGCTCCAATGATCTTGTGTTAACACCAGCCGTGGACATCACCACAGACCCAGACATGACCTTGGCAGCAGCTCAGGCCCACACATCACCATGATCCCGGTAGCAGCATGGGCCCTCAGATTAGCATGGTGATTAGCATGGCCAAGACTGCAGCATGGCACCCAGGCATCAATATGGTCCCAGGGGCTGGCCAGACCCTGAGCATCTGAAGAACCCTTGGTGGCACTACCCTCAGGGCCATGGACCCAGACATGACCCAAGGCAACGGTACATGCCCAGACTGGGTTATATCTAGTAAGTGGTCTCCTGTGCCAGTGCATTCAAGTCTACTTCCCACTTTCTCTTCTGTGAGGTTCAGTGTGGTTGGTTTTACGTTGAGGTCTTTGACCCATCTGGACTTGAGTTTTGTACATGGGGATAGATAGGGATCTGTTTACATTCTTCTGCATGTTGATTAATGAGAGTCACAGCTCGGAACAAAACAAAAGGTCAAGGAGTTGAGGGCTTATGAAGAAAAATGTTGGGTTGGTGGAGTGACTCAGTGGGTGAAGGCGTTTGCTGTTAGGTCTCATGATCTGAGTTTGGTCACTGGGGCCCACACCGTAAAAGGAGAGAACAGACTCCCACAAATTGTTTTCAGACTTCAACAGGCTGTGGTATACCCCTAAAGCCCTGACAATAAGTGGATTAAAAATATGAAGAAAAAGTATCGAAATAGAAATTAAAAAGGCTCATTTCTAAGAGAACAATTGTTAATGACACCCATATGAAATACTTGTTAATTTTTTATGTGTGAATTTAGTTAGTTAATCTGTATATCCTGGGAGAAACTATTTGAGATAAAATGCCGTTTATGGGAATGACCTGCAGGGGGCAGCAGCGGCTCATAGGTGTCTCATCAGGCCCTACAGGCTGCTCTCAGGGTACATCTTTCTGTTGTAAGGAAGCTGTTGTTTGTTTCTTGGCCACCCAGACTCCTGAAATAATCACACAGAAACCATATTATCTAAATCACTGCCTGGCCCATTAGCTCTAGCTTTTACATCTTAATTTAATCCATCTCCATCAATCTGTGCATCACCACGATGTCTTGGCCTACCAGCAAAGTTTCAGCACGTATGTCTCTGGCAGCGGCTACATGGCTTCTCCTTGACTCTGCCTCCTTTCTCCCAGCATTCAGTTTAGTCCCCTGCCTAGTTCAGTAGCCCTGCCTAGCTCTACCTGGCCCTATCAACAGGCCAAGGCAGTTGATTTATTCACCAGTGGTATTCACAGCACCCAGAGGGGACTCTCACAACAGTTTTTCTGCTTCTGTTCTGACCATTGTAAAACTACAGCACATTTCAGCTCTCCATATGTCTGACAGTGTTATTTTCTCCAACATTTCATATCGCCAGAGCTTTACACTCCCGTGTGGGTGGAAGGCCATGGGTAGCAAATTATTTAATTAAATGAAAGGGGAACAGACCTTTTAAAATTTTATGGAAATAATGTGTTGAATCAGTAACTCTTAGTTTCCAGCTTTTCACATAAGATCAACACAGTTTTTAGTAAACTTTTGTAAAAGTGGAGAGTTTGCAAACCTGGCGGTGGTTTCCGCACGCCTTTAATCCCAGCACTCGGGAGGCAGAGGCAGATGGTTCTCCGTGAGTTCGAGGTTAGCCTGGTCTACAGGCTGGCTTTCAGGACAGCCAGAGCTACACAAAGAAACCCTATCTCGAGGAACCAAAAGCCAGCCAACCAAACAGCTGAAAGATTTGCTATTTGATTTTGTAAAATTGATGTATTTATTTTATGTGCATTGGTGTGAAGGAGTCAGAGCCCCTGGAACTGGAGTTACAGACAGTTGTGAACGACCCTGTGGTTCTGGAAACTGAACCCCAGTTCTCTGCAAAAGCAGCATTTGCTCTTAATCCCCCAACCATTTTACGTTCTTCACAACAATGCACACACGAACTGTTTTCCTTATCTTTGAATTGTGCCCGTCTTCACGGGCATGGGATGGTATCTCACGGTGGCTTTGATGTCCCTAACAGATAGGGACACAGAGCATCTTTCTGTTGTTGTTTATCTTGTTCAGAGAACGCTCTGTCTGACTTCTTTGCCAATTTTTATTTACTTATTTATTATATTTTTTTTTCATTTTAAACAAGAAGTTTATTTAAACAACAAGACACTTGACTTGAAGGGAAAACTATCTAGGATCATTTTGTTCAAGAGTGATTTGTCCCTACTTAAAGACAGATTGCCCTGCATGTAACAGCTATGTACAGAAAAGTTATATAATTGTCCTTGATTTTACAATGATAAATGAAAAACATTAAAATTCTCCAATAGAACAAGGTGTGCAAGGATTTTGTGGTTGGGTTCTTTTGTTAAAACATTGAGAGCAAAATAACGTCCTGGAATATAAAGACAAGAGCTGAATGAGTAGGCCACTAATGGAGCAGGGGGACTTTTCACAGAACCAGTGCTTTCCCCAGACCACCTCCATCTGCTGTCAATCAAAACAGAACACTGGCCTTTTAGTTTAAAAAAGGAAAAAGCGCAATACACTTGTGCACATACACCAGTTACTTTATGTACATAAAGAAATGGGGACGGGGAAATGAAAGAATGGAGAAAACTATACTGTAGTAGTCAGGGTGTGATGGAACCAAATTGCGGCTTTCTAATTGCAAATATATTCTTGGTCTGTAACAAAACTCTGGAGTAAAGTAGCAGGTTCCCCTTTTAGTAGACACCTGTGTGCTGCTGGAACACATCAATCGTATCTTCATCCCCCATTTCCAACTGTGCAGGTGTGTCTGTTTCATTGATTGGATCAGATTCCATCAAACCAGAATCTGATCTGCCTCGTTGACAAACCCTGTCGTTCACAGTAGGCTTTTGTTAGTTTACTAAGTGGTATATGCCTCTTCATTTTAAACTGCACCACAGAGCCATCCTGCCCCGCCACCTTCAAATTAATATGGTCGTTGTTCTCGGTCTTGACTCCTTCTTTGGGTTTCTTGTCGGCCATGGCGAATGCCGGAGTCTTTTCAGCTGCTGCTTCCTAAAAGAGGCACCAGGTCCACACTGAAGGAACCCACAGGCAGCACCAGGAGCGGCCCTTTGCCAATTTTTAAAACTGGATTATTTTAGCCATTTGGTTGATAACTTTATTGTCTTTATCAGGCAAAGCCAGCCTAGGAAATTGCTCTCAACATATTGCTCCTCGGCTCTGAGCTTTCTTCAAGGAAAGAGATGTCTGTTTGACTCCTTGCTTGGGCTGCTTAGAGACCACAATCCCTGACACACAGCTTCTGCATGCTGCCTCCATCGTGCCATTGGGTACTGTGGAGGACTGAATGCCTCCATCCACGTGTCTCTTTGTGAGCCTCACAATTTTATTGCCAGACACAGTTTTGGTGAGACCTATATCCCAGTAGTGGGTGAAGACATGAAGCTGACCTTTGGTGCTTTCCATATGGCCCTGCCTCTAGCCATCTTTGCTTGACTTTACAAACCTTGTCCATTTCAAACCTATTGAGAAGCTCACATGCTGGTGGCAACCTTATTTGATAGACAGCTCTCACACCACCATTTGATGGCATGTGCATGCGCGCTGACGGTCAGAGCCCTCTCTCTGGGCATAAGCAGTCTGACAGATGATGGTGTCTGTCAGTCAAGCGCACTGTTGGCCTGCAGTGGGGTGTGCTTTACTTGTTTTTACCCTGGATCACCAAGCATTTCCAAGCATAGCATCCATACCGTCTTCCTATGCCTTTCACTTGCTATCTCTTTATGTTGGCCTTCTTCTCGACTTTAACAATTTGCTGTGGATTGGAGAACCATGTCTGTAGCTTGACATGGACCTCTGAATTGTGTAATTTTGTTGAGTTTTAGTTCCCTATACATTCAGTTTGGTGAAATTGCCTTTCTACATTCAGATTTTAGAACTTTTCATGCAGTCTAATTTGTCAATTTATTTCCTTTGGTGAATAGGCCTGCTAACTGGACAGACCCACGATACACCACACAAAACTCAACACTGCTTTGCTTGAAGTGCTGAGGAGGTCATTCTGTGTTCTAGGATTTGTTGTATGAGTCAGCGTTGTGGTAACTGATATTTAGGGTACCCTGTGTAACACAGAAAATATCCACAGAAACCTGGAAACACGAGCAAGTCCAGAGGCAAGATGTTGCTAAACAATTTGAAATTCAAATTCAGTTATGGGTGAGGGTCCTTTGCCAGGGTCAGAGCTACACTGACCTCTCCTAAAGGGTGGCCAGGTGTCCTGAGAGCAGATTGGTTCAACCCCTGTCTGTCGCCTCTCAGAGAGGCTGCCATGTCTCCCGTGGATCAAATCCATAAGAACAGACTCGGGTTCCCTCCTTTCTGCTGCATGGCCACAGCATGCTCCCTCCACGCTGACCCAGGCTGCTGGGTTGTGAGCTTGAGCGTCCGAAGCACGCCACGGCCCACGGCCACGGACAGTAAAGATCACTTTATCTCAGCCTCAAGACAGCAGAGCTCATCCCCTGATGCCTGCCTGGAGACCCGAAGGACGCCTCAGCTGGGGAAGCATCTGTGAATAGGAGTAAATCGTGTTTAAACCGCAGCTCACGAAAGCTGGCCTGTTTGGTCTTCCATCCAGGCTCTGTGAAGGATGAGCCACAGTGGTGACTGACAGCCCTCCATTGCTCCTGTCTATACTTCGGGCTATATGCATTCATCCGCACATTCTCATTTATTAATGACCCTGACCTACCTACTTGTGACATTCAGTGCCCAACCCTAGTCCTGTCCCCTTTGCCTTGCGGTATTTTCTCTCCTGGCTACTCGTTCCACTCAGCACACGTGTGCTCACCTCTACCTGTGACCTATTCTTCACATCTTCGTGTGGGCTTCTCTGCTGTGCAGAACCTGTGGTAAACGGCTCTGTGTGCCTTTGTCCTGGTGTTCCATCTTAATGCCAATTTTCTTCTCAGGCCAGCTGGAAGGCCCTGAGGGAGTCCAGATAAGCTTTTGTCTCCTCTACATACTGCACATAACCCACCATGTTCCGTAACCAGAGAATCTCACAGTAATTTCTTTAGATGCTTTGCCATTAAGAAATAAAATCTAACAAACACACGGGAACCTAACCTGGTCCCATCTTCAGAAAATATTACCATCCTGAATTTGGTCCTCATCACCCCCATTCATGCTTACAATTATTTATTCATTTATCTCTCTCTCTCTCTCTCGTGTGTGTGTGTGTGTGTGTGTGCATGCTCACATGCATGCCATGGAGTTCAGAGGACTGTTGATGGAGATTTTTCTCTGTCTCACGCTCCCACTGAACTGGCTTCTCTCCGCTCACAGGGTCCTTACAGTTGCTGATGAAATAACTGCCCTGAGGTTTAATCGGCATTTGGCCGACGGCCCAGGCTTCTTACTGGCTAGCTCTAACTATGAATTAACCCAATTCTATTAGTTCATATTTTACCATGAGGCTCATGACTTGTTACCTCACAGCTTGCTTCCCTGGAGGCCACATGGCGTCTCCCCAACTCCACCTTCTCTCTCACCCTATCTTTGTTTTGATTTCCCACCTAGGTATATTCTGCCTGGCCATTGGCTGAAACAGCTTTGTTCATCAACCAATCAGAGAAGCACATAGTGGCAGCACAGGAAAGGACATCCTGTGTCAGAGGACAACTGTGGGAGTAGGCTCCCTCCGTCCACCCCTACCACCGTCTTTCTGTTCCCTGGAGCACTCCTCATCTCTCTCCCAACTCCATGTCCTCCTGTTTTCTGATTTTGTGTTATCAATCACCCCGTGTCCAGTTCCTGCTGCCCGTATACACATGGGCATGTAGTCTCCCACTGGGGCAGGAGCAGTCTACTAGTGACTACGTCCCCAAAGAAAAGGGAGGCACCCTCCCTAAGCCATCAATTGATTCTCTGAGGGGTGGGGTCTCTAGGGCTCTCTCTGATCCATGCTGAAATTTTGTATTCAGTTTTTTAAATTAAAATTTTAATTTAATGTTTATTGATATTTTGTCTGCATTATGTCTGTGCATTGCCTGCATGCCTGGTGCCCACAGAGGCCAGAAAAGGGTGTCAAATCCTCTGTAATTAGAGCTATAGATGGTTGTGAACCAGTCTGTGGGTTCTACTGGGAATCGAACCCAGATCCTCTGGGAAAGCAGCCCGTGTTCTTAACTACTGAGATATCTCTCCAGCATGCTCCCCCACCACAATGCCGCAAGTTTGACTGGCTTGATCATGTGCATGTCTTGTACAGGTAACCACAGCTGCATGCAGCAGCCAAGTCACGCATGCAAACCATCACTTCACAGCGCTCCTCCCATTCTCTGGCTCTTGCATTCTTTCTTCCTCCGATTCTGCAAAGCTCCTGAGCCTTGGCTGGTGGGACACTAATGCAGATGACACTCCCACAGCTGAGCACTCAGTCATTCACACTCGGCTCTTTGACCCATTAGGAGCCTGCATCAACCACTGCCCGCTGCTAAACAAAGCTTCTCTGACAAACACTGAAAGCACTAAGAATCTATGGGTGTAAACACCAACGTTTAGAATGCAGTTTGACAGTTTAACCATTTAGCAAAGCAACTAATACTCGGTTCCTCACTAGGGCCTAGGATTTCCCCAGTCATGGAATTTTGACAGGATTTACAGTACCGGACATGAAATCCCTCCCACCGAGTAGGCCTCTTGTCCAATCAGAAAAGTGGTTGGTTGCCCCAAACCTGTGGTGCCACTACTGCACCAGTGGGTATGTCTTTCCAGCATGTCAGTATGGGGGGTGATGTGCGGAGATTTTAAATTCAGTTTTTCCTTAAGGTTCTCAGTTTTTGTATTACTATTTTGGTTTCAAAATCCTTCTCTACCTTATTGCCTTCTTTCAAGTGACTTTGATGTTTCTCTTGATAATAACTCCCAGGGTCTGTTTTTCTAGACTTTCTGTTTTTACTTTTCAATCAGCACTTAGGTTTGTTGGTTAATTATTTTCTGATTTATTGATTTATGTTATTTTTATTTTTTCATCTTCTGTGTTTCTTCAGATTTCCTGTAATACTGTTCTCTTAAAAAAATTTAGAGTTAGACATTCTATTCACACATCTTCAGTACTACTTCTTTTCCTAAACATTTGTTTTGAGCATGCACACATATGTACAAATGCGCATGTATGTACACAGGCGTCCATGCCATGGTGATAGTTTGGAAGTCAGAGGACAGCATGGGGAGTCACTTCTGTCCCTCCAACCTGTGGGTTCCAGGCACTGAACTTGGGTCTTCAGATTTATTGGCAAGCACTTTTACCCGTTGAGCCATCTTGCTGGCCCCAGCTTCCCTTCGTTTTAAGAAAAACGTTTAAAGACTTCCCAAACGGAACAAGGACGCCACACTCCAGGGCACCTCCTGGCCTTCTCCTCCATCCTGTCCGTGTCACAGCCTTCTCTAGCTAATACATTATCAAAACGTGAGTTTTGACACATATATTTAACCATGAAATACTTAATAGAATTAAAATACTGAACATATTCATCACCCTATGAAGTCATCCCTGTGGCTTTTGGTTTCCTACCGTCTATCTCATCCTAATTCCCACCCTCAGGTGACAACTGATTTGTTCATATTTTCTAGAATGTTCTATAAATGCAAGTGTACACTATTTGCTCCTTTCTGCCTGGCTTCTTTCCCTCAGAATAAGTTTCTCCAGATTGATCTGTGTCACTGCACCTAGCCACAGTTTGTCCCTTCCCACTGTGTAGTTTCACGGACTGGATGTGTGCACAGTTGATCTGACCACTCCCCTGTTGGTGGGAACTTGAATGTTGCCCATCTGGGGCTCGTACAAAGACAGCTGCGGTGAAAATCTGTGGGCTAGTCCTGGTGTGAACATAAATTTTTATTTCCCTTTAGTAAGTAAGTGCTAGGGCATAGGATAACTTGTTCCTACAGTAAACATGTGCTTAAACGTATTTCACTTTGTTCTCAGTAGGATAGTTGGTTGAATGACCTAATAT